TGAGAAACTTTAATGTACTTTTTCTATATATTTTTCTCAATGTAGATATCATAATGAATACATAATAGTTCGTGTTTATATAACTATTGTTACTATGCTATTTAAAGGTACACGAGTTCTATTTAAAGCTACAAGAGAAACTTATTCTCATCCTTAGAGTTTATGTGGAAACAATTTATCACCTTTTATTTAATAAAAAGCTTTTATGGTGTTGACCATTTCCATCACTTAAATATGAATTTATATTCTCACATAAAAATCATTTTACTTTTTTTTTATTTAAAAAGTTAAAATTATATTTAATTTTTTATTATATTATTTACAACAATGAATATACTTAGTATTTAATGGATACCAACCTAGCCTTGTATCTCTATATGCTTCCATTTTCATGATACTTGAACTTATAAACCCATTTGCAACCAACTGGAATTTTACATGTAGGAAGATCTACAATGATCTAAGTTTGGTTGTCCTTAAGAGTGACATCTCAACATCCATGGCTTGTTTCTAACAAACATGTTTTGATGCTTGGACATAAGATTTTGGTTCAGGAATGGATAAGATGGTGCAACAGTATTGCTTATAAGTATGATAATAATTATCATATGGTAAATAGTTAGAAATAGAATAAAGGTGAAGTGTGGGGATTAGGTGATATGGTCATGTCAGGGGTCGAAGGTACACCAAATGTGCTGGGAATGGATATTATATTTGTATCAAGTACAATAAGAACTATATTAGTGTTAAGGTCATAAGCATTGTCAATAGGCTTAAGTGGTTGGTCAGAGGGGGGTTTTGTAACATTTTTGAAAGGAAAGGATGTTTCATAAAGGATGACATTGTGTGACACAAACAAATCATGATATTGTAGGTCATAGAGTAGGTAACCTCTTATACCCAAGAAAAATAGCTTTTCTGGCCCTAGCTTGAAACTTTGCCCTATGGTTCTGTAGAGTGGTTGCAAAACAAAGACAACCAAACACTTCTAAATGAATGATGACAAGTAAAGTATTAAATAACATTTCATAAGGGCATTTGGATTATAATAATGGATTAGGGATCCTATTGATCAAGTGAACTGCATGCTTGATGCTAAAGTTCCATAAGTTTTGAGGAATGTTAGAATGGAACATAATTGCTCTAGCCACATTTAATATATGCTGATGCTTTTTCTCAACTACCCCATTTTTCTGGGGAGTTTCTATACAAGATTTTTGATGGTTAATGCATTTAGAAAGAAAAAAAGAATGTAAGGCCAAAAAATCAGAACCATTGTCTGATCTAAAACACTTAAGTGTAATGTTGAATTGATTTTCTAGTGAGGCAACAAAGTGAACTATGCTTTGTTTGGTTTAAGACTCTATTTTAAGAAATATGGCCCATGTAAACCTAGAGTAATCATCTACAAGGATAAAAAAATATTTATGGCCCAAAATAGATTTAGTGGCAAATGGTCCCCATAAGTCAACATGTAAAATTTCAAAAGATGAATGAGTATTAGTAATACTATTTGGAAAAGGTAGTCTCTTTATTTTGGCATAATGCCATGAATCACAAGGATCCATGTTATTTTTACAAGATATTAGAGGAAAACTCTTAGCTAGAATTTGTAAACTAGAATGAGAAGCATGACCTAATCTTAAATGCCAAGTTTCAAAAGAATTAGAAATAACAGAATTACGAGGAGAGATAACAACATGAGTATCTATGATATAGATGCCTCTTTACAAGCTAGATGTACCAATCGTTTTCTTCGAATGGTTCTGCAAAATATGACACATGTTTGAGGAAAAGTTTAGATGAAATTCATTGTTACTAGTCAACTTAGGAACAAAAATAAGATTGACATGAAAAGTGGGGATGTATAGAACATTATACAAGATCAAAGAAGAAGAAATAACAACATTCCCAGCTATACAAGCATTCATAAGAGAACCATCAGGTAAAGCTACAAAAACAGAAATAATGGTTTGATAGGAGGTAAAAAAATCGAGGTAAAATGTAATATGATAAGTAGCACATATATCTAATATCCAGAGATTAGGATTCTTACCAAAGTTTGAGGAAGAACGAGAGTTCAAGGAAAAGGAAGAGGTGATGATGGAATTGAAAGTAGGATTGGGGTTGGACTGTTGGAGTAAGGCACAAATGCTTTGAAACTCTTCTTGAGTAAAATCAAAAGATGAGCAAGATAAATCTTCCATAGGAGGATTATTTGAAGCATTGTTAGCCTGAGAATGTGAAGAACTATTTGTAGTATGCTGACTTTTCCTTTTCTGCTTAAAACCATGTGGATAACCATGCTTCTAGAAGCATGTACCCACTGCGTGATTGGTTCTTCCATAATGAGTACAAACGTGATTTACTCCTTTTGAAGGATGAGTCCATTTCCCTTTCTGAGACTGATAGCCTTTACCATTAGAAGGACCTTGAACATGTAATGTTGTAACTGCAAAATCAATAGATTCAATAGGAGTGGTGATATTCAGCTCTCGTTCTTGTTGAATAACCATTGAAAAAACCTTATCAATAATAGGTTGAAGGTTCATCGTCATTATCTGCGATTTAGAGTGTGTAAATTGCTCATTTAATCCTTTTAGGAACCTAGTTATATAGTCTTATTCACCGTATGTTTTGGCAGAATCAACAACACGACAAGAACAAGCAAAAGAGCATTTACAACAAGGGAGGGGACGATAACTTTCCAATTCATCCCAAAGCATTTTTAGTTGTGTGAAATATTCAGAAACACCAAGAGTACCTTGGAGAAAACATTAAAGTTCTTCTTGAATATCTGAAATGCGGAAAAAGTCACTTTGCAAAAACCTAATTTGAAGATTCTTCCAAATACTCGCTGTTGTGATGATCCATAGAACAAATTTCACAATCGAATTTGAAATTGAATGTTGAATCCAAGAAAGAACCACAATGTTGCATCGAATCCATTGAGGAAACAACAGATCATAAACGAAAGGTTTGGGAAAGGAACCGTCGATGAACTTAACTTTGTTATTGGAGATTAACACAAGATGCATTGATCGTGACCGAATGTGGTAGTTCTTAATATCCAATGATGGAGCAACAAGAACCAGCACAAAACTCTCGTTTGGGTGAAAATAGTAGAGATTTGCAGAGTTTGTTGCAAAGTCTGAGTAGCCCTGGTGATCCATAAAAAGAGTCGAAAAACCTTGAAGAAGAAAGGTTCAAGATCTGAATTAGGAAAGGAGAACACAAAGAAGAAGAAGAATTCAAGATTTGAAATAAGAGAGATGAAAAATAATAGTCACCAGAGCTCATTGAGCTCTGATACCATGACAATGTTGTAACAATGAAATAGATTAGAAGAAAATGATTTTCATTATGATTGAATAATCTGTACATCTTGCATACTGCTATATATATATATATATATATATATATATATATATATATATATATATATATATATATATATATATATATATATATATATATATATATATATATATATATATATATATATATATATATATATATATATATATATTAGTAATGATATTTATGTTGATAGAGACGAAGGAGAGAAAGAGAAGAGAGAAATAATATTGTATTATTCTCATTATCAATGTCAATTTCAAGTATAATATGAATCATATTTATAGGACATATGTAATAATTGAAAAATCAATATGAAATCTCATAATTGATGAACATCCATAATTATGTCATTTATAACACTTCTGCTTAGATGTCCATAAAGAATATGCCTGTTAAAAACTTACTAGAAAAAATCCAGTGAGAAAAATTCTAGTGAAGGAAAAATAATAGAACATTCTTAGTGAGGGGACTACATTGTTACTAATCAATACAAATTATTACAAATAAGAAAAGAAATTATACGGAGACAATTATTCATTATTCATAACACTCTCCATTGGATGTTTGATTAGGATATGCCCCGATAAAATCTTACTAGAAAAAATCCAGTGAGAAAAATTCTAGTTGGTTAAAAGTTTTATCTGTGAATGACTTTGAGAAAATGTCTAGAAGACTATCACTTGAACGAATTTGTTGGATGCTTATATCATCAGCTTTTGGAAGATCATGAGTGAAAAGAAACTTTGGAGAAATATATTTAGTTCAATCCTTTTTAATGTAACTATCTTTTAATTGAGCGATGCAAGCAATATTATCTTCATATATGATTGTTATGGTTTGTTGAATATTCTCGACTTGCCTCGTGCAATGTTAAAAATTGCTTCATGATTAGATGAAGTCGTTGCAATGGTTTCTTTCATAGGTCTCCATGAAGTAGTTGTACCACTATAAATAAACAAATAATTTATTTATGATCTACCATTACGAGGATCTAAAAGTAACATGCATCTGCATAACATGTTAATTCTAATTTAGATACTTTGAATAAAACAAACTCATGTCCATTTACCCCTACGATACACAAGTACATGTTTGACTTCGTTCCAATGTCTTTGTTTACATGAATAACTATATCTTTCTAATAAAGTAATAAAAATTGATGTATCGTGGTCTATATAATTAGCAAGATCAGTACTTGAACTACACATGGTACATCGGAACCAATTAATTTTTCATCATCTTGTCAAGGTTTAAAATTTTTTTCTAGACATCAAATGATCTAATATCATACCGATACACAACATACGAGATTTATTCATATACAAATATTTTAGCACATTTTCTATATAATATTCTTAATGTAAAAAGATTCTAGTATTTTATATGTCCTTTATTTCAAAATGTTTTTTTTAAGAGATTTAGAGCTTTATGAATTTTCAATAATTTTTTATGTCATCGATAAACAATTATTTCAATTCTTGTACTTGTCAATTCTCATAGACGCTTCATCGTCGCCTTCTTCCGGTCTTGTCTTTCCCCCTCCTTTGGTGAGTTCATCCCTCTCAATTTCAAACCCTGATTTTATCCCCATCCACACTCCAAATAATCGACAGTTTGTTGGAATTTGTTGCTCCTTCAAGATGACGACAATACGTAGGTTTTGCTGCAACGACCTTCTTCGTTTTACAAATGTCAATCTAGATCATCTCACCGAAACCGTAAGTTTTTTCTTTCTCTCAGGTCCATGAACTCAATACAGTGCATTTCTAGGGTTCTTAAGTTTCTTGTTTGTTTCAGTTTAATATGTCATTCTACATGACCTATCTAGCGCGATGGCCTGATTATTTCCATGTTGCCGAAGGCCCTGGGAACCGAATTATGGGTTACAGTAAGTCTTTTTGGTTTCTCTTTGTTGTCTATGAAGCATGTTCTTTGCATAATGTTGGTTGATTTGATTACCAAAAGAAAATTCATATTCAGATTGTGATAAAGCATTGACTTTTCTCTTTCTGCCTAAAATGTTAGGGTTTTGCATTTTTGTTTTCCTTGGGAAAGTGTAACTTGGTTTTGGAATTCATAGTGAAGAGAATGCAAGAAAAGGGGCAGAAAATTAGAGAATTTGAATACGTATCAGAGTAGTTATTCCTGGACCCCGAAAGTGGGATAGCCAGATAGCTTATAGAGGGATGATAGCTCTATTTTATCATTTTTCAGACAAATTACATGTAATAATTATAAACATATATTTCATGTAAAATTAAACAATTAACACAACTCATCAAATATTCTCAAAAGACACATGACTCTTGAAGTGCATAAATGACAATGCCGGAAGGTTAAGGTTGAGTCTTAACTCAAATTTGATTGGAAACTCCAAAATTACCCTTGAAACTTTGTAAATTTAAGGGGGTAATTTCAGTTTTCTAGAGGGGAAAAAGATATATGGCCAGAAATCGCTCCTAGCTGGGAACCGCTCTGCTCTGCTATCCCGCTATTTACCTTATAGCGGCTGCTATAGTGTTCTGCACAGCTAAGGCTCTTCCCATAGCGGCCGGCCTCCGCTATAGTGGGATAGTGCTGCTATTGGCCGCTATTGACTGCTTATGTTCAATGATTGATACCTTGAGAGAGATGACTGTGCTTAAATCTAATAACCAACATAGGGGCAGTTTTAATTGTCACTAAAAAACTTTGTTGCTAGAGAAGAAGTTAGACTGTGTGTGACCCTTAGATGGGTGAGACAGATGGATCAAGACTCAATAACATACAAAGAGTACAATGATAGGTGTACAACTAACATTGGGTAATAGTAAGAGCACAAGATTCAGGAATGAATGTTGCCTTTGGTAGATTATCAACTTATTTCAGGATTTAGTGGTTTAAACTCCAGCAAGGTTTAGGATAAACACGAGGCTCTTCACAGTTAGTGACTTTATCTAGAAAACAAAAAGGACTTTTATGGATTAGCTTCTAGCTTACGGGGATTTTGCAACTCATATATATTTGGTTTCTGACTTCAATTTTTTTTCCTGCAAGGGATTATTGAAATCTTCATCGAAACTGGTCCAATGACACTTAAGATGCTTTTTTTTTTTGTTTGCATCTGCTACTGCATGATGCAGTTTATGTTTCTATTTAAAATTCACATCATGTGCCTAACTGTGGATTAAGTCATACTGTGTTTAATTTTCTAGTTTTTTCATCATCTTCTTTGTGTAGAAGACTATTGGATATTAACACCAATATCATTCATGTAGTTATGGGTAAAGTAGAGGGGCAAGGAGACTCTTGGCATGGTCATGTAACTGCGGTAACCGTTGCTCCAGAGTATCGCAGGCAACAGTTAGCCAAGAAACTAATGAATCTTCTAGAAGACATCAGTGACAATATGTAAGGCATGCATATGTTTTATTTGTAATCTTTCTGAAACACCCCCTTTACTATTTTCATGATCTTTTTTTAATTTTATTTTTTCCAGTAGCTTTATGATAAATCATTTACTGCAATAGATAGGTTTCTTAGTTTTCCAATCACTATGAATTTTCCTTTCGTCAGTGGCATCAATATTTCTGATTGAAATGGATCAGTTATTTTAATTTTTAATATTTTGAATAGGATTAAGTGGAACAACAGATTAAATATGTCGATTTTGGGTTTGGGGGATGAATTTATGGTGAGATTCGGAATGTGTTACCAGTAGCCTAATCATTGTGTGTGAGGGGATCTTGATATAAGTTAGAATTTGATTTTGCAGTGACAAAGCCTACTTTGTTGATCTATTTGTGAGAGCATCAAATGCACCAGCCATCAAGATGTATGAAAAGGTAATGACTCTGTACTTTTCATTTCCAATTAAACCTTCTCTTACTTCCTTATGGGTTTATGGACAAGAATGTGTTAAATCGGTTTTTTTGTTGAACTTTAGAATGACCAAGGGGGTCTCTGAGCTGTGTTACTTTTTCCCTATGCATTCCCTTGTTTTTTGAACTGGTAGGAGGATTCATGACCCGTAATTTCAACACTCAACAACTCCTTCATATACTAACAATTTGTTTTAGATTTTGGGAGGCTCTGCAGTTCCATTTTTAAGCCAGAAAACATTGCTTTGTTAGGAAGTTCAAACATTGTGACAGGAGGCACAATTATCTCGTTTGCATTGAGAGGAATATCAATCAATCTGGCTGTAGTGTTCTACTACATGGCTTTGTGCGTCGTTTCCCTGTCATGTTAGTGCTTACAGTCAATACCCTCTACCATGAAAGAACTTTAGTTTTAGATCCAAGCCAACATGTTATAAATTCATACATAAGCAGTTTTGCAAGTTTCCACAAAATCTGACTTCTCATTAGATTATGTGGGCATCAAATGAGAACTTCCCCCACCATCTTGGAGTACAGTAGCTGCAGCAAAGTAGATAAGTCTAAGCAATTAACATAAATGCCTTCTGTTTAAAAATCCCAATTGATTTCATTTTTTAGCTTGTTTCTGCCTGACTTATATTAATCTGTTGTAAAATGTCCATTGAGATGAAATATTGTCTCAAAGAATCGGGAGTTTTCTTGCAAATTGCAATCATAAAACCGATATGATTTTATTGGGAAATTTGTGATTGGTTCATGTGATTTGGCTTAGTTCATGGGTAATCTGGTCCTACAGGCTGGTCTGTTCTGATTTTCAAAACAATGGACTAAACAAAATTTTATTCAGATTGTGGTTTTTTGGTTCTTGGTTATTTTGTCCCACATCAGTCAGATAATATTTATAATTCAATATAATATATATATGATTATGAATTTTATTATATCATATATTAATACTATATATTGTCTTTGTAAATTGGATGTTAGGATCATGAGACATGGACTTCAATTTATTGGATTTTGATATGTTTTCTTAATTAGGTTAGGATTTTCTAAGCCTAAAGCTTGAATTGCTAACTAGTTATTTTCCTATTTGACATCTTAGCTTGGCTATGTGATATATCGACGAGTGCTACGATATTATTCTGGGGAAGAAGATGGATTAGGTATGGTTCCATGTTTTTGTTTTCCCTTCATCTCTTACTCGCTTTAAACAAAGTTCATGTCATCATTTATTTATTTATCGTTATTATTTACTTTGTTTTTCAGATATGAGAAAAGCATTATCTCATGATGTTGAAAAGAAGTCCATCATCCCTCTTAAACGGCCCGTAACTCCTGATGAATTAGAGTATGACTAAATTTCTTTGCACGAGCTTATTTTGTTCTTTAAACAAATATATCGATTGCGTATTGGAGTTTTATTTCTGTTCGATTATGTTGAGCTTATTTATTCTTAAACGACCTGTTTTATTTCTGTTCGACTATGTTGAGCTTATTTATTCTTAAACGACCTGTAACTACGTTGCATGAGCTTATTTTGTGCCTTAGAGCAAATATATCGATGGCCTATTGGAAATTATATTTTGTTCTACTTCATTTGAAAAACTTGTTATAGTAGATTAGATTCATCAGGAGATTATATTTTGTTCTACACTTATGAAGTCTCGCACCAGCCAACTTTTATAAGCAGGAAAGACGTTTCTTTTGATAAAAGCTTTGCACCTGTTTTGAGCTGACATGATTCGTAAAAGGTGATAAATTATTTTTAGAAGAAAATGATCGAAGAGAATAGTAGAATATAGTATTAATATAAGTTGCGATAAATGTGTCAGGACTCTCAGCATATCCATTAAACTTTTATATATATTAATAAATGAAAATGCAATATATTTTAAAGATAATACTACTAATATAATATGTAAAATAAAATAATTAATAATAAAATACAGTTTTTTTAAATTATTATAAATATTAACAATTTATTTATATTAGTACGTAAATATAAATAAATGTTGCCATTAAGGTTTTTTTTAACTCAACAAGTACGTATTAGTTTAAACTATTTCACCCTAAAAAATGTGTTTAAAGTTCAAGTTTAAGTGATCAGTTTTTAATATCATGAAATTGATATTTGGACAAATAGAAGTTTGGATTTTGTTAATTATATCATCTAACTTAGCAAGTGTGCTCCTCCGATCTTTTTTATGTGTTTTTTTGGGATAATTTTTTTTTAATTGTCATTTATAAAATTTAAGATAGTATTAAATATATTTGTCAAAATTATCTTTAGATAATTGTTAAAGAGGAAAAAAAAGTAAAATGAATATATAATAAATAATTAGAAATATTATAAATAAAAGAAAAATTATTATATGAAAAATAATAATATTGATCAACTTTTTTTTAGTATGTGTAAAAAATAAAAAAAAATACTTAAAAGAGAACGAGGGAGGATATAATAGAACATAGAGATGTCTCAAGGCTTTAATTAGATAATTTCTAATTAGTTCCAAGAGGTAATGTTTTTTTCATCTTTAATAGGACAACATGAAGGGAGTAATAAAAACACGATTTTTTTTTAGTATGCATTCCAACAAAGAGTAATTTTATCAAGGTTTTAATCTCTGCATGTAAAATGTTAGAGAAATTCACACTAGCATAATAACTAAACTGAAATCGGTCAGATGAGAAGATGAGAATATGTCTTGACCGATCTACAGACGTCTATTGCCTGGTATATGTAAAGCTTGACCTAGTCTATTTTAAAACAAAAGTTAAACTTAGGTTTTCTAAAAATCTATTTAATTAAATAGAACAGATTTAAATTATTAAAAAACATTTAAAGCTTTATTGGTCTATATATATATATATATATATATATATATATATATATATATATATATATATATATATATATATATATATATATATATATATATATATATATATATATATATATATATATATATATATATATATATTAGAAAATGTGCTAAATAATATATACAACTCCTTGTTTATGTAACAAAAAGGTAAAATAGACTTGAAAGCCTTAATGTAAAATAGGCTTTTAGGGCCGACCAAACTTTTAAAAAGGCTATGTCAAGCTAAAAAATTATTAAAATAGCCATAAGTCAGCCTCAAACCTTAAAATTTTATTGTAGGTCAGACTCAGGCCTTTTAAGGGCTTGCCTAACATGACCTATTATGAGACCTACACTAGACCACCATAACTTGTCTCAAGTTTGTTAATGCACCACCTTCAACCTAAGTATCATTGTAATCATTTTGCCAACATATGCCCATTCGAAGCCGCTAAGAGGGAGAAAAATATGAGTTACCAAATACTCGCTATGATATGTGATGTTGTGAAAAAGTTGAAGCAGTCGTAGACATAACCGATGATTGTGTTCCTTCAAAGACATGCTTATTTGATGTATTTCGTGGGCTACTCGTAATCAAATGAGTTACGTTACCTAACTCGTTAACTATATTTTGTATAGAATTTAAGAAGTTCACACAATCAAATTCAAGAATCCTTAGTGCATGAGGTAAATTCTATATCCAATTTCAAAGATCGTCAATTTATCATAGCGAGTATTCACATATCATAGCGAGCAAAAAGACGATCAAACGCTTGTCAATTAATCATTAAAAAAAACCTCAATTTATCAATAGAACACGATCAAATGCGTGTATGAACTTTTTAAATGTATATTCACTGAATACGTGTAAAAAGAACCAAGAAAACACAAAAACAACAGGCAAAACACCTTTCAAGAAAATATGCTCGCTAAGCTAAGAACAGGGTTTCGCTAAGCGAGCAATGACGACACAAGAATATTCAGAGCCAAGCCACTTAAAGTTTAAGCAACAAAGTTCACTAAGTGCAATATCATACTTGTTAAGTGAGTTATGACAGTTCATTACTTCTTGGCTATGTCACTTCACAGGCAAGGAAGGGTTTGCTGGTTTGCTTAGGGATGTCAACAGGGAAGAGATTGTGCAGACAATGCTTCTCGTCCCCTGCCCCGTCCCCAATGTTTTCCCCATTTATGTCCTTGATCCCTACCACAGGGGAATATTATTCTCCATTCCCATCCCTACAAATCTCCACGGAGAATCGGAGATCCATGAAGATCAAATCTTAAATTTTTTTTCATCCTTTTCGATCAAAACTATGACATTAGTATTTTGTTATTATTATTACTATTATTTTAAAAATAAAAAACACATATTTCATCAAAAAACACATATTTCATAAAAAAACACATATTTCATCAAAAAAACACATATTTCATCAAAAAACACATAGTTCTTGCAAAAGAGATATCTTATAAATATAAATCAAAGTTTCATAGAGGGGTGACCGAACCTATTGTGCAACAAGGTACACTTATTATTCACATGATAGATATGGGAAGAACTACAGATTTGAAACCAAGTGTGAGGTATTGTAGGGGTAGTAAGGATGTATAAGCCTTAGTGTAACTTAGTTGCATCAATCTTCATTATGGTACATGTCTCTTGTATGAGATTCAAATGAATTATAAATTATATTGCAATCAAGAGCGAATGTTATTTTAGGAATAAAAATCATGTTTGTGTAAAAATCTGTTAGAACAAGATTTGTTCATGATATATATTCCTTGGATTTTGATGATAACAAAGTATTAAAAGAACAATGGTTATATTTGATGTGTGTTTCATGTATGAAGGTTCTAATACTTGTAAGTATATATATTTAGAGTCTTATATACGAGAGCACAATGGAGAGAAGCTGAATTGCTAGCTTCTAGTGGTGCAGATCCTGAAGAACACTCTCTAAGAGATATCTGACATAGACTCTGAAGCTGAAAGTCTCACCATCAGAAGAAGCAACATAGTTGTCTCTACACTTGGTGAATGTAAATTGGCTCCTGTGATCATTCAGAGTTGCTGATAAAGCTGAAGCTATCCGTAATACAGAAAGCAAATTGCATTGTCAAATCAATTTGTCAGCTAGAGTCTTAGTTCGTAAGGCTCAAGAAAAGTTGGTATGGTTTACGGATATCTACTCTCAACGACTCTATAGTACAAGATCTCTTTGAAGACCTAATGGTTAAACACGATACACAATGGATCAAGATCTTTTGGTGTATCTATCTTCAACATCTCTTGTACTATGGAGAAAGCAAAGACATTTGATCAAGTTATCTCTCAAACGACTAGTCTTCTGCAAATGTTATATAAGTAGCTGAAGGTTCAAACTGAATCATTAACAAGGATCAACCTGATGGAAGAGTAACAAGATCAAAAATTATCAACACAATTGGTTATGCAAAATTTCTGTTGTAGGTTGTAATTGTAAAATCCTTAAGATTTCTTACACATTGAATATCTTAGAAATCTTAAGAGCTTTAGGTCTTTGTTATGGTGATTTACCTGTACCTCTGATATTTGTATAAAATACACCTTGTTCTCTATTCTACTGAACATGTTATTTAGCAGTTTAGATCAAAGTCTCTCGCTAAGATGCTTGAGTCATGTAAGTCTACTACTATGTGCTAGAGCATTAAAAGACTTAACCAAGTATATTGATTGAGTAGATCCAAGTCTCTCGCCAAGATGCTTGAGCCATGTAAGTCTTCTGCTATGTGCTAGAGTATTGGAAATCTTAATCAAGTGGATTGATTGAGTAGAAGTCTTGGATTCATGGAACTTTAACAAGAAAGTCTCGGATCGAGGGTCTGAGCAGAAGTCTTGAGCCCGAGCTACTTGACCAGGAAAGTCTTAGGCTGCGGTCTAAGAAAGAAGTCTTAAATCTGGGGGGTTTAAGTAGGAAGTCTAGGGCCATAGGGGCTTGAGTGGGAAGTATCGGGTGTGAGGGACCTGAGCAGGAAAGTCTTAGACTGAGGGTCTAAGCAATGAAGTCTTGAATATGTAGAACTTGAGTAAAGACGTCTTGAGCCTTAGGGGTTTAAGTAAGAATTCTAGGACTTAGGGTCTGAGCATTGTAAAAGTCTTATGCAAAATGCGTAAGCAATTGTAATCATGATTTGATTATAGTGAAAGTCTCTTGTGAAGCAAGGGGACTGAACTGCTCTCATTTAGGAGGAACCAATTTAAATCTTTGTGTCTTATGCTATTATTTATTTGCTTATGTTAACATTCCGCTGCTAAGTATAATCAGAATCTAAACACTAGTTTAGATTCTGAACTCTGATCAGACGCAAATTAAGAAAACAGAAAACACAATCCAACCCCCATCTTGTGTATTTTTTCTCACCTTCAATTGGTATTAGAGCCTGGTTTGTACATAACACTTAATAGTGGTGCAGATAATGATCCAATGAGAAAAGTATGTATGTTAAAGACT